GACTGGCAAAACTCCACAGACTCATTCAAATGGTCAACAACCTCCTTCGAGAGCGTGTCTGACTTCTTCAGGAGGCCCCTGGACTCGTTCAGCTCCTCGACGATGTTCCACAAGTACCCGTTGTAGAAGGAGTACGAGTGCATCTTCATCAGTTGAACCATCGAGTGCAAGAAGAGGAAGATCTTCCCAATCCACGGGAAGTCCTTCCACTGTGCCAGGTATAGGAAGAACACGGTAAACGCCAGCTCGTAAGCACTTGTCACTAGCCAGCCGGAGCCGTGCCACGTGATCCATCCACAGCATATGGCCTTCTGGACCACAACAACAAAGTACATTGACAGGTACATCGCCAGGTCCGTCAACGCCACGGCAGTCAGGTCTTTGCCCATTGTTGCCAGGATATCGCTCTCCAACCCGTGCTCCAGGAGATGGTTCACCATGAAGTCCAAGTTCGTCACGGCGATGGAGAACCAGATCATCACGTAGAAGCCCTTGTACTTGGACTTTGTAGTGTCAACTTCATCCAGAATGCTATGGGCATGTTCAAACTTCACGTCGTCCAGCTTACTCTTCACCTTGCCCTTGTAGATCCGTCTGTTGACCTTGATCTTCCTGGACGTCTTGTACGTCTCCAGCGTCTGCTGGTCAGCCATCACAGAAGTCTCCTCTCCTTCTTCCACGCTCTCCTCTGTTACTTCAGCAAGCTCTGCTTCACCAGCGGCTCGTTCCCTAGCAGGCGAGCTCAGCGTCCCCAACGTCGAAGCACTCGACTGATACTCGGTGTTGTCGGCAAGGGAAGGTCTCTTGAGCTCCTTCGACTCCAAGGGGTTCTGACACAGTTGACGGAGGTACCGCTGCATCTTTCTTCAAACAAGCAAGGGGTTGTTTACTTCGCTTATATACCGCACAGTGGACCACGTCTGTACTCCAATCCACGCACTCACACAGGGGTCTCGATCCGTTCTCTCTGCTCTTACCTTGTCAGCTACACAGCACCAAGCACGGCAACCAGGGGTGATCCTATACAGGGGTTTGATACGCTGGGATCGACCTCACGCTGGGTTCTTAGCCCGTTTCCAATGGGAAGGGGGGTGTTATCCGAAGCAGCGTGATGCAAATTTCCCGAGACTCCGCAACGACGCTGGGGACAGAAACGAGAGAGGGAGAGAGCGAGCGGCTTACGATGACGCAGGCGGCGATAAAACGCTTTTCGCTATGGGGTTTGTGAGGATTTGTTGATGCTTTTCCGGTGTTGATGCTTTTCCGATTTATTGCACAATGGCTTTAAAATGCGTCAAGCAATAGATTTAGCACGCGTGGGAGGACACCACTTGGGTAGGTTCACAACGAGGGTATGAACAGCCAGGGCGATACCAATTACAACCGCTCTGCGAGAGAGAGAGAGAGAGAGAGAGAGAGAGCGCATGTCCCGGTGGTGCCATTGGCCGATGGCACGAACGAGGGCGGGCAACCACATGGTGGCCTGTTGTAAACGAGTCGCTTTCCGATGGTGTGTAGCGGCCATGATGGGCTCCCGAGACGAGGCAGTGTCGGGTTACGAGACTTTACGCGGGGATGGCGAGAGTGATAGGCTTGCCCCAGCCAATCGGGCTCACCACAGGGTGCGTAGCTTGAGAAGGTGCTCGCCAGGCCCTCAAGTACTGTGTATCTTCCCACCATCACCAGAGAGCCTATACCGTTGCTACTGGCGCTACTGTCCCTAACAGCCACTGCGTACGCACCTGGCACGTGATGCTGACGTAATGGCTTACATAAGCGACATTACATAAGCCAGATCACTTTATTACATAAGCGGCTTATGTAATCCGCTGAGTCAAATTTTCACGCCGGCCTCTGTGTGCGATGTCTACGGGCGATGAGCTTCACTGTTTTTTGTCAGGTATAAAATTTCTCTTGAGGTCCTACAACAACAACTGGGTAGAACCGCCTACAAGCAGCGTCCCGTTAGCTCTACCATGTCGCGTCCAGAACAGCTCGCACCGCCAGAGATCTTCTACAACGATTCTGAGTCGAAGAAGTACACTTCCTCGACAAGAGTTCAGCACATCCAGGCCAAGATGACGCTGAGGGCCCTGGAGCTGTTGAATCTCAGCTCCACGCCACATTTCATACTGGATATAGGGTGTGGTTCTGGGCTATCAGGCGAGATCCTTTCAGAGGAGGGCCACGTTTGGTGTGGGATGGACATTGCGCCTTCGATGCTTGCCACGGCGCTCGACAGGGAGGTTGAAGGTGATTTGTTTCTGGCTGATATTGGTTCCGGTGTACCGTTCAGACCGGGTACTTTCGACGCTGCAATAAGTATATCCGTGATACAGTGGCTGTGCAATGCGGACTCGTCCAACGTGGACCCCAAATGGAGGCTGATGAGGTTCTTCAACACGCTGTTTGCCAGTTTGAAGAGGGGAGGTAAGTTCGTTGCACAGTTCTATCCCTCCGATGACGGCCAAATAGATGCGATCCTTTCCAGCGCAAAAGTCGCAGGGTTCCAAGGTGGACTGGTCATCGACGACGCGGAGAGTAAGAGAAACAAGAAGTACTATTTGGTGCTGAGTGCGGGCCAAAGCTCAGAGTCCTTGAATCTGAACGGGTTGACGATGGACGCACCTGTCAACGATCACGATAAGAAAATAGGCAAAAAGATGAAGAAGAAGATGGAGAGCAAGAAGCACTTCATTCACAGAAAGAAGGAGCTGATGAAGAAAAGAGGTAAGAGCGTTGCGCTCGATTCCAAGTTCACAGGAAGAAAGAGAAGACCAAGGTTCTGATTATATAATTGCGATTATATAATTATAATTATAATTATAATATCATATATAGCACAGTAAAATAGTCATTTCAAAACATTTCACCTTCCACCAGACACAGTCCACTTACGGTTTCAGATACAGGAGAGGCCATGGAAGAGCAAGAGCATCGCAGTGCAATCGAACACTATAGCACCCCCTTTGTGCTCGCCATCAACCAAATCGACGGCTGGTTATCTATAAAGACTCTTGAAGGTGAGCTGATAGAAGTACGGTGGACGTCTAATGGCTGGGTACTTCAGGACGTTGGCACCGATGTCGACAGGATACACCAATCTCCTGGACAATCTCCTGGACAAACCTGGCCAACCTTTGAGAGCCTCATGATGAACAGGTCGTTCAGGTTCCGTCAAGCATTCTTCCAGAGGGTCAACGAGCAACTACTACGATCATGAGACATAGTTATACACATGACCGTACAAATTCACGTCTAAAAGCGAGAACCGTTTAATGATATGATGATAGCTAGTATACAGAACGTTTATATAGGGGAAATGTACAAGGGGAATATGACTCGTAACCTCATGAATGAACAAAAAAAAAAACACAACAACCAGGAGAAACAACAAGGAGAAGCTCTCTGCTCAATCCTTGTAGATTCTGGCTCTCTTGTAAGTACCGTTACCATTCTCCTTCTCCTTCTTCTGTCTCTCCTCCTCTTCAAGTAGCACCTTCTCCCAGCCTTGCAGCTCTTCAACCTTGGCTGGAGCGTTGTGCTTCTCATCGTACATACTCAACCCAATAGAACCCAAGAGCAAGCCCACGGTCAGGAACTGTGCGTACATTCTGGCCTGCACTATCTTCTGAGTCTTCGTCATGATTGGATCACGGTCCACGAAGACCCATGACCCCCACATGGAAGCGGCCCATGCTCCAACAATGATCTTGTACTTGTTGTTGGCAGCACCTTGCACGAACTTCTGGCTCAATGGCAGCTCTGCCCATCTCTTGTGCTCCTCCAACTTGAGCTTTGCGTTGTAGTCGTTGGAGTACATCTCTCTATCAAATGCATTGGACGCCTCCTCCGCACCAATGGTGATACCCACCGTTGGTGGCGAGATGAAGATCGCCGTTCTGATGGACCATGGCAAGTTCTTTGGGAACCCAGGGTACTTGTATGCACCGTACTTGAAGATGGCCCCGGTGGCCAGTAGACCGGCAGCAAGCCCAATCAACCCTCCTTCAGCAACAACCCACCAATGGGCATCGATCTCATCATCAGTAAGCAATTTCATCGTGTGTGTATAAGTGTATGTACAAGTATGTGTGTGTGTGTGTGTGTGTTCTACTCCAAAGGCTCAAGCGTATGGTTCAAACCAATTGGTGCTCCAGAGCAGAGGAAAGAGCAGAGATGTTGAAGAAGAGGTGCCATTTTTATAGATGATGCCAAACGAGATTCAAAGGCCGCGGGTCGTCTCAAAGGCCTTCGATTGGCTGATTTTAGCGTGACATCCTAACATTTCTGTGCTGTGGCGCTCGATGAGTGGAAATACGGGTAAAACGCCCCGGTTCTGCCCTTCAGGAGGCAATTGAAGCGTGCTGCCAGCTCCATTGGGTTGCTCTTGACGGTGTTGGTTCCATGGGCTGACTGGCCAATCACGTTGCGGCACGCGCGAGGTATCCGTGGGCAGCGAGGAGAGCCTGGCGAGGTTCCGGCGTTGGCCTTTGCAATTCCGACGGCGAATTCCGATGCGCGGTGGATTCCGACGCTTACGTAATAAACCCGACAAACGAGCTCGCCTGATTACGTAATAAACCCGATAAAGCGACCAGCCCGCAGCCCACGCCCCCAGGCTAAACTCCGCTAAACTCCCCTTACCTCCGGAGCACTCCCCATCGACGACGCTACCGAATAGCCGTGTGCTCTCGTTGAGGCAAATGCCACAGTTCGTGCCTCCCATACGCAGCTGACAAACCATCCAGCCAATGCAATGAGTCAGCGATGTATAACATCTTTAGTAATGTATAAATCAGATGATAAAGCGTTTTATTGTTGTTGATGTGTATAAATAAGCCGGCGTATCGACGTCTCAGTAAGTGAAGAAAATTTTTCGTTGATGGAGGTTTAATCCCTTGAACATCACCAAAAGCATCCAAGGAAGCGAGGTTTTACACTCAGAGAGCACGCGCATCGGACTTTTCTCACTTGATTGTCTCGAGAAAATAACTGTGCCGGTTTTTTTTCTTCGTTAAACCCCAACCTCTTACATCAACACTTTTTTCACTATCACCACCTCCTTCTGGAAACACCCCCCTGCTGGAGAAAACCAATCGAAGTCTGAAGATGGCATTCACACCTATTCCTGAGGCTCTCGAAGCATACAGTACGTTGTTGTTTTCATTGGACGTAGTTCTTCCCCTGGAGCCCGTACTAACACTGTTGTTGTAAAGAGAATGGAGAATTCCTCATCGTCATGGACGACGAGTCTAGGGAAAACGAAGGAGACCTGATCATCGCTGCGGAGCTGGTGACTAGCGAGAAGATGGCGTTCTTGGTGCGTCACTCGTCCGGCTTCATCTGTGTTCCACTGTCAAATGCAAAGGCTGATGCCCTGGATTTACCACCAATGGTTAAAGATAACCAGGATAGACACGGAACAGCCTACACGGTGACTGCTGATGCGAGCGAAGACGTCACCACGGGAATCAGTGCCCGTGACAGGGCCGTCACGGTGCAGACGATGGCCAGTGCTAAATCAACACCGGGGGACCTGCGCAGACCTGGTCACATATGTCCACTAAGAGCAGTTGATGGACTGCTACAGAAGAGACAGGGCCACACGGAAGCTGGTGTCCAGCTATCGAAACTGGCTGGCTTGCAAGAGGCTGCGTGTATCTGCGAGCTGGTTAGAGACCAGGACGGGCTAATGATGAGACTGGAGGACTGTGAAGAGTTTGGCTCAAAGTACAACATCAAGATCATCACCATTGAGAGTCTAATCAAGTACATAGAGCAGGAAAACCTGTGGTGATTACCTTCAGGACACTCTCATTCATCTTCATCCACTGTTTCCAGCTCCAGAGCCTCCTGTCGTCCTCGTTCGACGTCGAGCATGGCATATATCGGTAATGCAATGATGAGCAACAGGAACAGAAAGTAGAAACAGTACCTAATGTTATGGGTCTTATCTGTAATCAGCGCAGTTATCGTTGGCCCCAGGATCGACGAGCCCTTGTCCGTGACGCTGAAAAGACTGAAGAAGGTTGACTCCTTGCCCTTTGGTATCAGCATTGCAAACAATGAGCGTGAGACCGTGGCGAGCGCACCGAGAATGAACCCATACCACACTGCTAGCATGTACATCTCCCACTCGTGCTTGAGACCAATACCATAGAAGTAGAAGCCCAGAATCCCGTAGAATGGGATGACACTGGCACCAACGATGACGCATAGCAGGCTCCCCTTGGGTGTTATCTTGAACAGCCTCTGTATATATGGCACCGTCAGGCTTCCAAAGATGGCAAAGAGCACCGATAAAATACCGACAATGACAAGCTTCGGGGTCGACATCAACAGCTCTGAGCGTGCAAACAGCACAGCAGCAGAATTGATCGTCACCACGGAGTCGCTGACGATGAACCAGCCCAGCAGGTATATCAAAACGTCTCTCAGCATGGAGGCATGCTTAATAGAGACGAACAGCGTGTGCCACCCGTACCTGACGTACTGTAGCAATGCGTTCTGATCCGGCTTCAGCACCAGCGTTGGTCCTGGACGTGACTTCAACAGCATTGCAAGGGGCAACTGGAAGACAAACCACCAGAGACCAACGACAAAGATCGCCGTCTGGATCGATAGCGTGGTGGAGCCTGTCTTGATGACGATCAGCATCGTCATGATCTGCACTATAAGTGCAGATATGTACCCTGAAGCTGCACCCAGGCCTGAGATCTTGGTGAACTGGTTACCATTGGACACAACGCTGTCCCTGGAGCTTGATGGCGGCTTCAAGTTCGAAACCAGTATCGGCAGAAACGAGTTGCCACACACGTTCACTGCTCCGAAGCAGCTGTTTGCCACGATGGCAAACAGCGAGGACAGGTAGTACCGCTCGCTGGAGATCAGCCGGAACAGCATGGTGACAATGGCACCAACAACGCCAAACATCAACAGCAGCTGCTTCCTATAATGGCCCCTATCAGCCGCCCCGGACATGGAGATCACCACCAGCGTCTGGATGGCCACGGAGATGGAAAACGTATACAGCGCATACGACGACGTGTCGATGTACCTGCCGAGAACGTACACCACGCACTGGACGTGCTCTCTTCTCTTGAATAACATCAACGTCTCCGGCAACGTTGAGTCCGGAGGAGGAGGCAATGGTGTCACGTCGATTGGCTCCTTATGGATACACGGCTTGGAGTGATCATCGAGTCTCACGCCGTTCTCCCTGGCAAACTGCTCCAGCAGTAGGGGAACGTACGTGGACACAGCGCTCACGATGAATGGCTCTGCCGCCCACGAGTACAGGCACCAGCCCATAACCTCTGAGTGTGTTGTGTAGTCGCCTTGGTCTTCACCAGCGTGCTGTTCGCCCGCAGTTTCCGCTTGAGCTTCGTCGTTTGGCAGCTGGATAGCTGGCGAGATGAGCTTTCTGATGAACTCCATGCTGACTCCGCTTTCGTTCCCTGAGGTTCCCTGGCTACGCGGTGTTGTGCTGGCTGAAAGGACTCAACTGTACGAAAACGTGTTGAAGTAAACATCACTTTACCACCGATTTTGGAATGTTCCGAAAACAGCATATTCTGTCTCCGAGACCCGAGGGTCCGGTTGACCTCGGAACTCCGCATTTTGTGGGGTATTTCGGATCATCGTGCCGGTCTCGGAAAAATTGGGGTAGTACGCCGGAGACAGAATCATCACCATGGCGTTAATACCAACTTCCAGCAGCACAGGTCGGTGCCAATTGGCCAGTTGAGTCACGAGGATGGACATTAACGATATTATCTCTGATCCCAAGAACCGGGAGCTTCTCCAAGTGGTGAAATCCATGAGGAATGGGCTCATTTACGGTGGAAAGCTGAGGTTTGCGCATACGCTTGTGATGCAATTCATCTTCAAGAGGCATTCACCGCTGAGCTCGAAGCTCAGCGCCGTTGTGAAGATGGCCAGGGCCCACGGGACGATCCTCGCGGTGTACGCCTTCATCTACAGAGCCGTGCTGATGGCGCTGAAGAGGGTGTCTGGTCGAGAGGCGCCGATTCACGAGTTCATCAGTGGTGCGATTGGCGGGCTCATAGTGTACGGCAACCTGACACCATGGTTCAACCACTCAATCACCCACCAGATCACGCTGTTCTGCGGTGCCAGGGTGACCCTTGCACTTGGTAAGCTGATGGCGTTCAGGCTGGCCAAAGAGCTGAAGCTTCTCCAGAGGGAGAGCAGATTGCCATTGGTGTCCAGCACAGAGCACCTCCACCTGAAGAAGCTGATCCAAAGGTACTCATGGAGTACCTTTGCAACTGTATCCTGGGGTGTCGTGATGTACCTACACAGATACTACCCGACGTTCCTCCAGCACGGGCTGGAATCGTCGATGGAGTTCATCTATGACGACTACAATTGGAATGACTGGCGTTCTCTATTGGGAGTGTAACCTACTGGCGATGATGACGATGATGAGCTACGTAAGACAAAATCAGGAAAAAAAAAGATATTTATGTATTACTTTTGATTCTTTATACAGTTGAAGAAAGCCATCATCACAGACATGCCCCATCACGACGATGATATGCTGTGTTTATTGTACTCCTTCCTTTAAAACGGATTGCTTTTTTTTGCTTTTTCGATATAGATATAGATAGATAGAGAGATGGGGGTTTTATAAGTGGTAATTGTCTCTTTGATGGACCAAACAATGACGTCCATATGGCTCAGAAGGTCAGGATTGAATGTAGTGTACAGAGGGGATAAAGGAAGGGAAACAAAAGGAAACACCAATGGCTGAGAGGAGACGAGATTCGTCTAGTTATCCTCCTTGACATCATCATTCTCATTAGTGGTTTCAGCAGCTTCAGTCTCAGTGGACTTGGTCTCAGTGGCTTCAGTCTCAGTGGCTTCAGTGGCCTCAGAAGCTCTGGTTTCGCCCTCCTCATCAACCTTTGGGGCAATTATCGTAACTTCACCTTCGACACTTGCCAATCTCTGCTCAGCTGGAAGGACCCAGATCTTATGGTTGTCCTTGACTCTGATCACCGTCAGCTCGCCAGCTTCACCAACTTCAACTAAGGAACCGTTCAACTCCAACAACACCTTCTTCACAAGAGAGAGATCATTACCACTCAGCACCTGCATTCTGTAGAAGTTGGCCACAACCTCATAGTTCAACCAACCTTCAGAGTTCATGTGCTTACGCAAGAACAGGTCCTTGGCCAAGTTCTCAATTGAGAAGTAGTACTCGATCTGTTTCGTTAGTGAATACGTTGGTTCGTTCTTGTTGACGATGAAATTGCGTGCGTTGTAGTAGAAGCCCTGAGGATATCCACCGGCCTGGTTGTTGTAATGGCCATTGTTGTAGCGGAATGGCGCACCGTTCTTGCTGAAACGACGATTACCGTTGCCGTTATAAGGACGGAAAGGTCTCGAGCCTTGGGCAAACTGTTGAGGGTAATGCTGGCCGTTGTTGTTGGCATTACCGGCAGCAGCACCTCCATTGGCAGCGTTCTGGTGGTGATTATGATGGTGATGACGGTGGTTATGATAATGGTTATGATGCTGATGTTGGTTTGGCTGGGTCTGCTGATGTTGGGATGCGACACCAGACTTCTCTGCAGAGTCAGTGGAAGCAGTGGATGCAACAGTGTCATTGGCTGGGGACTTGGCTGAATCCTGAGCCTGCGATTGCTGTTGAGACTGTGACTGCTGTTGTGATTGCTGCTGCGCCTGTGGCTGCTGTGACTGTGACTGTTGTGCTGAGTTGTGTGTTCCCTGCTTAGATTTGTTCTTTCTCTTCTTAGCATCAGAGTTGACCTGCTTGTTGTTCAAGCCACCATGGTTCTTCTGGTTTCTCTTCTGCGTCGATTTCTTCGCAGGCTGTGCTAACACAACAGAGGCATTGAATGGGACCCACTTCTCCTTCGAGGTGTTCTTTACAACAGCCTGTTTCTTTCCACCGGACTGTTGCTGTTGTGATTGCTGTTGTGGCACCTCTAGAGGAGAAGGCCAATGCTTGGAATCAACGTTGGAGTTGGATCTGGAGCCCTCCGTGGATGAAGACCCCCATGCACTCACCTCAGGAACAGGTGCCGGGGCCAGCTTCACCTGTTGTTTGGCATTCTTTGGAGAGGCCTTTGGCGAGGGCAAGTGGGAGTCAGTGGAGTCCTGTGGAGCCTTTTCAGCAGCAACGGTCTCAATGGACTCAGCTGCAGGCTCTTGTGTTGGCGCAGTGGCAGGGGATGCTGGCTTAGCAGCGTCAGCGTAGGTTTCAGCAGACATGGTTGGAATGGTTCAGTCCTGTGGTCTGAAGAGGGAAATGCAAGAGTCCAGCGATGGAGATGATGATATTAGAGGTGAAGCACTATCCTTCAACAATGGCACCGAGCAATGGCCACGTTTTCGCCCTTATTCAGTAAGAAACAGATGGGCGTGGAGAAGATGGGCGTAGAGGGACGAGATCGTTATGCGATTGTGTCCACACTTGGCTGAGTATTAAATGATTCGATGAGATGACAACCACTTCACGGAATCGATGATTGCAATAGCGCACACACACACACAAACAAACAAACAAACAAAAGGGCTCGAACGAGAGATCTTCTTCTCGTGTTCTGTCTTCACAAATGAGCTTCAAAGAGAGGAAGAAAGAGAGAGAAAGAAGAGGGAAAAAGTTGTCGAATCTCAGCTAGAACTTTTTTTTTTGGCCAATGTCCCAAGCTCATACAAAAAAAAAAGTTCTCGGAGGAGCTGAGTCGGTGAAAAATTTTGCGTGTTTTAGGAAATTTTCGCGCGCACTGGTGCTTTTAGTGGTGTCTGGGTGTGTGATTATGTAAGCACACTGCTTATGTAATCATCATCCCTCCACCCTCCACCCTCCACCCTCCACTCTCCGCGCGCTCCTTCTCCTATGACGTCATGCAACACCGTCCGCGTCCTTTGTGGTGAAGTTACGTTTGTGTCATCGCATAATCCTTTGGATGTAAACAATGGCACATTGTAAGCTGGTGAAGCAACTCGTAGCGACACTTGCACTGCTCTGGAGAGCGTGCTGGTGTCAGTCGATGGCGGTTTACCCGAGAATTGAGCTGCTGGCCCGGTCCGTGATCACAATCTCTGTTGAAGAGCTATGGCACTCGCCAACGTGCAACAGTGCCAGCTTCCACCGTGGCGGGAGTGGTTCCAGCACGGAGACGCTATCTTCTGGGGTGGCAGTGCCGGAGAGCTCGAGCTCAGTGGAGAGGGATAGGATGAGTGGGCTTGGTTCTGCGCTGGAGCGCCCTGTGGTACACGGAGGTGGCATGGGCAGCGAGCTCAGTGGCATGGGCAGCGAGCTCAGTGGCATAGGCAGCGAGGCCTCAACGGGCTCGAGACACCTCTTGCGTAGGATCTATAGGAGAATTGCACGGCGGGTTCACCTACGTAGGCGTAGGCTGAGCACCAGCGGTGCTCATGGAGCCGGCGTGGACTCTCTGGGACCCAGTGCACTCGCAGATGTGCTCTTCTTGCCTGTACATGAAGGCTATGTTAGGCGTCAGTGGAACACTGAGAGCACACAGCAGCGACACCATCTGCAGATTGCGCTGCAGAGCCAAAGACGGGCATCGCAGGGGATCTCAATGGCTCGAAGAAACGAGGCACAGAGAATGGAACAGCTGCGAATGCCACAGCCTGGAATGCCACAGCCTTCAAGCATTGTTCCACTGTTGAATAATTTAAGCCTACTGGAGTCCATGAGCCCTGCTGAAATGGAGCAGACCTGGCAAACTGACAAACAGCCCCTGTCTACAGACTCGAGTGAAGACAAGGATGACACCGTATCGACCAGGCGTAGAACGTTTAGGTACACTTTGGGCCGGGCCAGGGATCTATACAAGATGTTGGGGAGATTTGAAGAGTTCTTCGGCGCAAAACAGCCCGACATTGGCATCCAATTGGACTCCACACCATCACACGAGCACACGAGCTTACTATCGGCTTCGTCTTTGTAGTAAACAAAGACAACGCTCTCCCCTCCCCAACAAACTATCAACATGTGTTAATTTTGACATCAATGCACCCAGCTGTACGACATTGCATATACCCCCCGTAAGGGACAAATCTCGGGGGGATTTATTGTTGTATTCATATATATAAACCTCTCTTGGTGCCTTTGTTCCCCCCTCTCTTCTTTCTAACCACATGTTGTTGACCACTTCCACGATGCCTACTGCACTTACATTCGACAATTGGCACTTCAAACGCTCAACAGACACTGGTTGGACAAAGAGCCATACCAACAGTGCCGTGACGGAGATTTTCCCTGATTTGGTGAACAGCGGTGATATTCCAGACCCTTTGAGCGACTGTAACGAAGCTCTGGTTTCGTTTGTTGGTAGAACTGAGTGGTGGTATAAAGCGTCCATCACGGTGGAGCCTGGTCTTCGCCTTGAGCGGTGTGAACTTGTCATCAACGGGCTGGACACGGATTGTGATGTTCTCTTGAACAATGAGCACATCGCTCACACGAAGAACATGTTCAGAAGATACTCTGTGGAGGTCCAACCCCTGGAAGGGATAAACACACTCCTGTTGAAGTTCCACCCAGTGGATCATATCAAGGATAAGCCATTTGAGCCGATTACACTCTTGCCAGAGTTCGGCAATGATCGCATGTTCGTGAGAAAGGCACAATACCATTATGGCTGGGATTGGGGCCCAAGGCTGATCACTTGTGGTGTCTACAAGCCGGTGGAGTTGGTTCTCTGGGATGAAGAGACCGGGAAGCTGGATGGCGTTGATGTTAGCTACAGGCTTGACGTTGAAACAAAGAGTGCCGAGTTGGAGCTCCAGGCAATCACCAAGGGTGGGAACGCCAACGTTGTCTATACTCTGAAATTTGGTGATCGTACCATTTTCAAAAGTCCTGAGTCAACTCACCAGCTGAGTGATATCAAGATGTGGTTCCCCTTTACGCATGGGGACCCGAATCTCTATACATTGACCACTGATCTGATCTTCAACGGTAAGATTGTTGATTCATTGGAACAACGTTTGGGGTTCAGACAGGTTGAGCTTGTTCAATCATCACTTGATACAGGTTCAACCTTCTATTTCAGAGTCAACGGATTGGACACATATGTCAATGGGTGTAATTGGATACCAGCTTCTCCATTCTTAACTACCCTAACACGCCAGCAATACAAGGATTGGATCGCACTGTTGAAGGATGGTAACCAAAACATGGTTAGAGTGTGGGGTGGTGGCATCTACGAATATGACTGGTTCTACCAGGAATGTGACTCGCTAGGTATACTGGTTTGGCAGGACTTCATGTTTGCGTGTGGCCAGTATCCAGGAGATGATGAGTTTGTTGCGAATGTTAGGGTTGAGGCTGAACAGAATGTTCAAAGGCTAAAGAAGCATCCATCCGTTGTGATCTATGCTGGTAATAACGAAGACTACCAGACTCGTGATGAGTATAAGATTCCCCGTGATCAATTCTACGCTCGTAAGATCTACGAGGAGGTGTTACCCCAGGTTCTAGCTGATATCTACGGTGGAGAAGAGAGCACAACGATTGCATACATCCCTGGCTCACCCTATTCCAATGACACGCTACCTGCTGATGACCTGACCATTGGTGACGTTCACCAGTGGAATGTGTGGCATGGTAAAGAGCTACCCTACCAGCAATGGTTTAAACTCGTTGGAAGGTTTGTCTCCGAATTTGGAATGGAAGCGATGCCGTCTTATGAGGTCTTCACCAAGTGCATAACCAACAAAGATGAGCTGTACCCACAGTCGAAAACCGTGGAGTACCATAACAAAGCCCAAGGTTTTGCGAGGAAGCTGTCCTACTATGTGTACGCCAATGTTCGGATCCTGGAGAACGATCTAAGCTCGTGGATCTATGCCACTCAACTGGTGCAGAGTGAGTGTATGGCGTTCGCACTCCTAGCTGCTCGTCATAGATGGGGGAAGAACAGGCTATGCGGCGGCCAATTAGTATGGCAGCTGAATGACGTCTACCCAGTAACGTCCTGGTCGCTCGTTGATAGCTGTCGAGTCCCCAAACTCGGCTATTACAGTGTCAAAAGGCTCAGCGAGCCCTGTATCATTGGTGGTGAGGCATTCGACGATAACGTGCTGAACCTGTTCATCTCCACCAGTGGTGCTCAAAACTACGCTAGCGACGACGCAAGCTACTTTGTTCAAGTTGACTACTACGACATGGCCAGTGTCATTGTCAAGACCGAACGGTTCCCTGTGACTGTTGCCAACAACTCCACGGTGGAGTGCGGTTGTTTAGCCCTCGACGAGCATTTAATCCTGTGCATCACTCTGCACAGGATCAGCACTGGAAATACCTCTGCGACTGTAAATCGCTACATCCATTGGCCTCAACCTCTCAAGCACTACACCCTGAGTGGCGATGCTCCGGTCGAGTACGTCGTCAAAGATGGCTATCTTGAGCTCAAGTCCCGAGTGCTCGTCAAAGGCGTATTCGTACAGTGTGACGGCTATCTACAGGACAACGGATTCGACCTTGTGCCAAATGAGACCAAAAGGCTGAAAGTTGACACTTCCACCACGATCTCTCGAGTGCTCGGTACCTACGTCAACGCTACGTAGCCCAATTGGCCATCACATGACGACTTCCCCCGATGCCCAGAACCCCATTCCATTGCATCAGCAGCGTTGATGCAGAAATCACCAGCCGGGAACAACCGTGCCACACACGGACGGCAGCCCCGGAGTACGTTCAGTGGGCTTCAATAACTGCTGGCTGGGGGTTCTACTCGGTCGAATAAGCGAGGCAAGCAATGGTAGCGATGCTGTAGATCAATGTACGTCCATATACTGTGCCCACGCCGTCTTATTAGCCCCCCTACCGTAGTTTGTGGCGTTCTATAGCTACACACCAGCCCGAGCAGAGCCCCTGTGGCTGTCATGCGGTTATGAGCGCGTGCATTCGCGCCAGGGGGTTTTTCCGCGCGAGAGTTGTTCCGTGACGGCGTTGCCCCAGTTGTTGCACGGGGTGCATTAATCCTCTCTCTTTCTCTCATCTCTCGTGAAGTCATCCCACCCCCTATAAATAGCTGCTTTTTCTCTGTCTTGGACGTAGTGAGTTCCTCAGTGAGTCGAGCAAACAAGCAATCAGTCAGTCAGATAACTGATTTACTACAAATTACACACAAATGGTCTTACAAGAGTCAGTCGATGCGATCGTGAAGGAGTTCACAGTGGACTCTGCTAAGCTCGAGGAGCTTACCAACCACTTCATCAAGAGCATCGAGGAAGGGTTGGAACATGCGCCTGGTGAGAAATCAAAGGGCCTGCCTATGATTCCAACGTTCGTGACGAGCATCCCTAATGGGCGTGAGAGAGGTGTCTTCTTAGCTGCTGATTTGGGTGGTACGAACTTCAGGGTGTGCTCTGTTGAGCTGAAGGGCAACTCGACCTTTAAGCTCGAGCAGCTAAAGAACAGGATCCCTGATGACCTGCTGGAGGCTGAGACGTCCGAGGAGCTGTTTGGCTACTTGGCTAAGAAGATTGCGCAGTTTGTTGACAAGTACCATCCTACCGGCTCCACAGACACCACTGGTAAGCTCAAGCTGGGCTTCACCTTCTCCTATCCAGTTGACCAGACCTCGCTGTCGTCAGGAACGCTGATCCGCTGGACTAAGGGCTTCAAGATCCAGGACACCGTCGGCAAGGACGTGGTCAAGCTGCTGCAGGACCAATTGGACAAGATCAAATGTCCCGTGGACATTGTGGCGTTGGCCAACGACACCGTCGGGACATTGCTGTCCCACGCCTACTCCTCAGGTGCGTCTCCAAACGGTAACCAGGGTGATACCGTCATAGGCGCGATCTTTGGAACAGGTACCAATGGCTGTTATATGGAGCCTCTGGAGGCCATCAAGAAGCTGGACCCTGAGCTGGTGAAAGAGCTCAAGAGCAAGGGTGTCACTCATATGGTGATCAACACGGAATGGGGTTCATTCGATAACGAGCTGAAACACCTGCCAAACACCGTTTACGACCAGAACATTGATAAGGTGTCTTCGAACCCTGGTTACCACATGTTTGAGAAACGTGTGAGTGGTATGTTCATGGGCGAAATCCTCAGACAGGTGTTGGTTGAGATACATTCAAAGGGCGATATCTTCACGCAGTACTTTGAGTACGACGAGCTGCCTCATAGACTGAGAACTCCATTCGAGCTGGACTCCGAGGTGCTGTCGCATATTGAGATTGACGACTCTACAAACCTCAGAGAGACTGAGCTATCACTGTTGCAATCCTTGAGACTGCCAACAACTATCGAGGAGCGTAAGGCGATCCAAGCCATAGTGAGAGCAATCTCTCGTCGTGCTGCCTACCTCGCTGCTGTGCCATTGGCTGCCATTCTCATCAGAACCAAGGCCCTTGACGGTTACCACAAGGAGGTTGAGATTGGTGTTGACGGCTCTGTTGTGGAGTACTACCCAGGGTTTAGATCCATGATTAGACACGCTCTGGCTCTTTCACCAATTGGGCCTGACGGAGAGAGATCAGTGCACATCCAGATCGCAAAGGATGGATCTGGTGTTGGTGCTGCTCTCTGTGCAAGTACTGTCAACTGATGCCCAGTGCCTTGATGTTGTAACGAATGCTACTTATGATTGGTTTATAAAAATAACAAAACTTTTTTCTCAAGTATTTCGAAATCAACTTTTCCTTTCTTATGTATTGAATCTCGAACCAACCTCTGTATATACCAAGCCCACGTTTGTTTGTTTGTTTGTTTGTTTGTTTAGTTGTTGCCGTTTAAAGCTCGTCTCTCTCCTCCTTCTTCTTCTCCTCCTTCTCCTCTTCTTTCTTCTCTGGTGGGGCAAATTCACTGGCGTCAACACCAAATGAACCCTTCTCCTTGATGAACTCGATCAACGATGGAAGGTCACGGCCTCCCTTGTGGACGATTGGGTTGCTCTTATCACCAGCTGGGTAGAGAACTAAAGTTGGATAACCTGTGATTTCAACGTCAACGTCGTTCAAAGTTCCATCCAAGTTAGCAATCAAAACCTTTTCAGCACCCTCGGCATCGCTTGCATACAACTCAGCAAGCTCCTCGTAGATTGGAGCCAATCTCTTACAGTGACCACACCATGGAGCATAGTACTTGACCAACACATCCTTTGTCTCATCGTTAACAACTTCATCGTGGTTCTTACCGACAATCTTGAAGACAGCCTGCTCTTGAACCTCTGGAACCTCCTCGGACTTGACAATGGCCTCCGCTTCACCGGCAGCGTATTTTTCAACAAATTCTTCAATGGCCTTCTCGGTCAACTCAATGTCCTGTGGGACACCAAACTTCTTGTTTGAAGCGGTCTCGTGGATGACAAACAATGGGAACTCTTGCTTCATGTTCAAGTTTTCCGCGTGACGGCCAAATGAGGAAGCGTCAATACCGACAAAGTTGATATCACCTCTGTGCTTCTTGGCAATCTCAGTCAAAGCTGGTGCCCATTGAGCACGCTCCTCGGCTGTGTTGTAGAAGAAGTAAGCCAATGGCGTTGACTGTTGGGAGTACTTTTGATAGGTGGATCCATCAATTTCACCAAAGTATGGGAATGATTCACGGGCAACAAAGGCATCCAAGTTCTCCAAGGTCAACTCCTCGTCAAACACCACTGGTTCATCCGAGCCTTCAATGAACACGAGGATCTTATCCTCGCCGTATTGCTTGACGAGCTCGGCGTTCGTGGTTTGAACAAACGAGTAATCATCTCTGTGTGCATTGGCGTATTCTGAAAAGGTGGCGTTGTCCTTGACACCAGTCTCAACGACAATGGCGCCCGAGGTCTCCTCCAAGAACTTGTCGAAATCGGCAACAGCGTCAATGACGCTGACAGCTGGCAACGACTGCTTGATCATGTAGTTGACGATACCGGCGGCGCTTCTTGGGCCCTCGTAGTCAGCAGGGTCCGAGGCGCTGCCCCTGAACACCTTCAACGTTGGGTAACCTCTGATGCCGTGCTCTTGACACAGATCCTGGTTCTCGGTACAGTCAACCTGCGCCAACTTGATGTTCTTTGGCTCCAACTCGTCAGCGGCCTGGGCAAAGTTTGGACCGAGCGCCTTACAGTGACCACACCATGGCGCAAAGAACTCAGCAAGAACCAACGGGTTCTCAGAGATAAACGACGCAAACTTATCGGCGGTAAGCTTCACAACGGCGGAATCAGCTGGCGCAATGGCAGCTTCATCGCCGGCGGCAAGGCCAACAGACACGGCGGCAAGAAGGGTGGTGAGGGACTTGAGCGACAAACCAGTGAGGAACTTCATTCTGTTCGTGATATTCGAGAAAGGACGGGTTTGTTTTGATGTTTTCGTTCTTTCAAATGAGGGAAGGATGGCAAGGGTGTTTTTGTGGTTTGGAAAACAAATCAACTTTTTATAACCACAAAGCCGCAAATGTTTTGGTGTTTCCTTCTCTTTTTCTCCGCGCAACAAGCGTGTTTGGGGAAAAAAGGACACGTTGGGATTTTCAACGTTTTTTGCCGCCGAGTGGAATATTTCCCAATGCGGAAGTGGTTGTGAGCGCCGGCGGTGGTCGGATCTTGGCGATGGCACACGTGACGTGTGCCCCCGGTGCTTACCCTATTGGGAAGCCGATGACAATTTTCAACACTCTTTTCCAGCTCAGTGAACGAAGCCAACATCGTTTTCCCTTTTGGTGGAGAGAGAAGTGTGCTACGAAGCGGAAGACAGAGGCAATGACTGAAGAGCTCAGTAAACAGACCGAGGCGTTGGATATCAAGCAGGTTGCTGAACAGAAAGTGACTCCCTGGGAAGTGGAGGGTGCTGTTGTGGACGGTCAGGCACAGGCCATTGACTACGATAAGCTCACCAAGCAGTTTGGTACGCGCTCGATTGGCGAGGAGACCCTTGAAAGATTCGAGCGTGTGACTGGCCATAAGCCACATCACTTCCTGAGAAAGGGCTTTTTCTTCTCAGAGAGAGATTTCTCGAAGATTCTGGACCTGTACGAGCAGGGCAAGCCTTTCTTCCTGTATACGGGCCGTGGTCCTTCGAACAGCATGCACGTTGGGCACCTGGTTCCGTTCCTCTTCACCAAATGGCTACAGGAGGTGTTTGACGTTCCGTTGGTGATCGAGCTGACCGATGACGAGAAGTTCTTGTTCAAGCCGAAGCTCACCATTCAGGACGTTAGAAACTTTGCCGTGGAGAATGCAAAGGACATCATCGCTGTCGGGTTCAAGCCTGAAAACACCTTTATCTTTTCAGATCTGGACTACATGGGTGGTGCACTCTATGAGAACGTTGTTAGAACTTCACGTCAGATCACCACGTCCACTGCTAGGGCGGTTTTCGGGTTCACAGACTCCGACTGTATCGGTAAATTGCACTTTGCATCGATCCAGATCTCCACTGCGTTCCCTTCGTCGTTCCCTGACGTCCTGGGAATGGGCCCAAAGACACAGTGTCTGATCCCATGTGCTATTGACCAGGACCCATACTTCCGTCTGTGTCGTGACGTTGCAGACAAGCTGAAGTACTCCAAGCCAGCACTGATCCACTCAAAGTTCTTCCCTGCTCTACAAGGTCCTTCTACAAAGATGAGCGCCAGTGACGACTCATCTGCCATTTTCCTAGATGACACTCCTAAGCAGATCGCTAAGAAGATCAACAAGTATGCCTTCTCAGGTGGCCAGACCTCCGTTGAAGAGCACAGAAGATTGGGTGGTAACCCAGACGTGGACGTTGCCTACCAGTACCTGTCCTTCTTCCTCGACGATGACGAGAAGCTCAAGCAGTACTACGACAGCTACAAATCAGGTGAATTGCTCAGTGGCGAGATGAAGAAGCTCGCCATTGACGAGATCACCAAGTACATCGTAGCCTTCCAAGAGAGAAAGAACCAGGTGGACCAAGAGACTCTGGACAAGTACATGAAGCCACACAAGCTCGTTGGTGGACAGAAGGAGAGACTCGTGCCAGCCAAGCCAAAGGAGAACAAGCCAAAGGAGAAGAAATGACACTGTTTAGAGGCGTTGTATAGTATAAATCACGTATAAAATGTCCTTGGAGGGAAAATCCGGAGGTGTTGCATATATGCGGCTGTTCTCACGTAGCATTGCCCGATTAGGAAGTCAACAACGCATATCGGTATAAAGTATGGGGAGGAGGCAATTTTGAAGCTTTCTACCACCTTTCACACACTAAAAGTGTCACCGATACACCAAGTTCACGGTGTAGTAGTAGAGCAACGTGGAGATGAATGGATACCAAGGTAACAGCGGTAAGGGCCAGGGCCAATTGGCGCAACGGTTCCCAGAGGTTGACCCTTCAGAGCTGACAAGGCTGATTATACAGGCACTCTCGGATTTGGGCTATCAACGGTCCTCTGATGAGCTGAGGGACGAGAGTGGGCTGGAACTGGACTCCCCGGCGATCAACGGCTTCATAGAGTGTGTTAGAAGTGGTGACTTCACCAATGCCGAGTTGAAGATTGCTGACTTGCACCTCATCAATGATAGCGATGAGACGAAGAGACACATTGTGTTCCTGATCAAGAGACAGAAGTTCCTGGAGTTGCTGTACCTGGAGAACTCTACACAGGAGGCGTTGATACTGCTTAGACAAGAGGTTCACGAGCTGACGGATACGGCCAACATACGGGCACTGACGTCGCTGCTGATGAACAAGGACTCTCCTGAGCTTCAGAGGAGTAATGGCTGGATGGGGGACGCTATGCTGAGCCGTGACTCCCTGCTGAACGACATCTCCAAGTTCATCGACCCGAACGATATGATTCCCAAGCAGAGACTTTTCCAGCTGTTGCAGCAGTCGATCAAGTATCAGCAGTCTAAGACGCTTTACCAGTTTGGAGATGAAGGTGATCGTATCTCGTTGTACGAAGACGTCAAGTCGAATAAGAAGAACTTCCCAGATACAGTGCACTACACCTTGACGATGCACGAAGACGAAGTGTGGTATGTCACTTTTTCCCATGATGGCAGGTACTTTGCCAGTGCCTCTGCGGATAACCATGTGCTGTTGTACGATGCCATCAACGGGTTCTCGCTGCTACACGATCTCAGTGGACACGATAAGCAAGTGATGCACTGCTCGTTCTCTCCAGACGATTCGATGCTGCTGACGTGTAGCTTTGAGTCGAAGGCACACCTGTGGAACGTCCAAACCGGCGAGTTGGTGAGAACGCTCTCACTGGGAGGTGACTCAAGAATATGGTGCTCTGATTGGTTCCCAGATGGTGGGTCGTTTGTCCTGGGCTCGCCAGATAAGGAGATTGCGATATTCGACGCCTCCAGTGGTGAGGTGGTGCACCGGTGGGAAGGCCCCGTAGTTAACGACTTGAAGATCTCCAGAGACTACAAGCTGATTGCAGTGACATATGACATGAACGTTGAGGTTTGGGATCTCAGAACCAAGCACAAGGTGAAGACACTCGAGCTGGGTCAACGGCTCACGAGTGTATCGGTATCTGACAAGAATCCAGCCCAGATTCTCATCAACGTCTCGCCAAACGAACTGCAGCTATGGGACTGGTCTCGTCACATCCTCCTGGCCAAATACGTCGGCCATAAGCAGGAGAAGTTCGTGCTGAGATCCTGCTTCGGTTATGACGAGAGAGTCATCCTCTCAGGAAGCGAAGACGGCCGCATCTTCATGTGGAACAAGGAGTACGGTGCTCTGCTGGGGGTGTTCGATGCCCACACTGGCAACTCCAACTGCGTGTGCTGGAACCCACGCATAAAGAGCATGTTTGCATCTTCTGGTGATGACACCATCGTCAAGATCTGGGGACCATCAAGGACCTCCGACTCGGGCTGATCCCTGATTGAAGCCCTCTCTCCATCCATATATAATGACCAGGCGTAAAGAAATTATGTGTCATAAAACATCCGAACATCACTACTATTAATCCCCGTTGGTTTCCCCGGCTTTAGCTCTTGTTCCTTGTGAGCTTTTCCACCAGAAGACACGTAGAGAGGCGATGGACGTTATCAATTGGGCTGTTTATGTGTATATCGACTCCCTTTGACCTCATAGTCCCCCTGATTGTTGTATTAAAACAGATGGCTCTGGACAGCGTAATTAGCGTGAGAAAGGCCGTGTTCGGAGGAGATGGAAAAAAAACTTCGTCAAACTTCATGCTTCAACAAGCGAGACATAATTGCTATTGACGGTGCTCTAAGTATCCACAGGTGTGTGTAATCCAATGAGATCTGCTCTGCTACTGCTTGCGAAGGCCAGCAAACGTGCTCACCGTAACGCTGCGCCTCTGTTGCCACCACTTGCTCTGTATAGACGTATTCTTAGGGCCCATAAGAGCCTCCCTCCAGCGCAGAAGGAGCTGGGAGACCTGTATGTGAGGGACGAGTTCAAGGCCCACAAGTCCACCGATAACCCGTTGTACATCGTTGGGTTCCTTACGAGCTGGCAGGAGTATCTGAACATGATCTCTAACGGCTCATGGGCCGAGGGAAGCATGACCAATGAGCAATTGGCCAAGATGAGCCCTGACCAAATCAACCAGCTGTACGAGCTGATGAAGGAAACAGAAAGAGTTAAGAAGGGAGACGTCGATGAGGGTGACGAGTGATGTCTACAGTGCAGAAGGAGGCTGTACACGTGTAAATAAATGCAGATTATTCATAATGATTGATTAGTTTTATCAGTAAGGTCTGAATCTTTTCTTCTCCTTCAACTCTTTAATTCTCTCCTGGTCGTCTCTGAACTTCTTCAACAGTTCGTTCATCTCTAACTTCTTCTTCTCCCTGATTTGGAATCTGTAGAAGTCTGCCTTTTCCTTCCTCTTCAACTTCTTGTCCTCGATTTCCTTCACCTTGGAAGTACCACTCATCTTACCCAGGATACCTCTCTTGGTCTTTCTGTTCTTGCCTACAACCATGGTGAACCCATCCTCATCTACCAGCGTCTTCATCTCCCCCAGCTCCTCGATGCTCTTAGCCTCTCTCTTTTCAAACTCCTGCAGGGATAATGACACCTCTGCGGAGGTCTCCTCAGGAGACAGCACTCTGTCTCTATACGCCTTGGCCATCCTTATGCTGGTGGCAGTCTCGTCACCACACACTCTCCAAGAGTAGAGCTCATCGCCCTTACAGTATTTCTTGAGCTTGGACATGGCAAGAGAGCATGCGCTCTTGTCGACAAACACCACTATGGCCGTGCCATTGGGCAGCCTAACCAACGACCCTTGGCCATCCTTATCGTCGTCATACAGATCCGACGTTAGCCTCGTCAAGTTGATGTCGTAGTCCAAGTCCTCGTCATTAATGAACAAGTTCTCCACCAGCGAGTTCGACGCAATGGACTTGAAGAACTGGCGTATCGTGCTCAGCGTACACGCAAACGGCGGGTTCACGATGAAGAGAGAACGTTCAGCCATCTCTTTCATCGCATTGCTCTGATGCTTCTTGATAAACATGTAGTGTCTGGCCTTTTTGTTCCATTGCGACTGTGCCAACTCGACTGGGACCACACTGAATCCTTTCACTTCCTCCATCTCTAGCAAAGATAGGTTTCTACTCGGGGGATCAGGAACAGATGAGCAAGAGAAGCGGAAGGAGAAAGTTGTTGATGAGCTCTTGGGGCAATTTGTGTTGATAAATTTTTGCGTGATGTGTCCGGGTGTTTTGTGGTGTCCGGGTGTTTTGTATGAAACTCCAATCGGAAGTTGTCTTTCTTCGGAATCTGTCGCGGAATAATGTTTCTTATCGGAATATATATCGGAATATACATCGGAATATGTCCTCTTCGGTGGTGTGCCTTACGGATCTTACAAAGTTTCCCTCTGGCAACTTCAAACTTCAGCAACCCGTTGAAACTGTCGATCAATCAGACTGAACAGAGCGATAAAACATGTTCTCGTTTGCCAAAAACATCGTCAGGACATTGGAACACACCGCAGAGTCTGTGATTTCTGGAGGTCCGCAAGACGACTCGGTGATCTCATCCGATGCTTACTTCCAACACGCAAAGATGAACAAGCACGCGTTGCGGATCGTGAACGTTGTCACTAACAGTGAGGCTCATTCTTTAGGGTTTGAGAGCTGGTTCGACTTTATCATTGGCATCAATGGGCATGAGATCCCAACTAGCTATGACGAATTCGGCCAATTGAAACCAAACTATCAGTACCTAGTGCAGGAAATTGCCAATTGTCATGGTAGGTCTGTGACTTTTGAAGTTTGGAGTGCTAAAGGTGGTGCTGTCAAGTATATCGAGCTGCCTGTGGAGGAATCCAACGATAACACCATGAGTGACGTCCCGTTGGATGGTAATAAATCGGATTTACAATCTCGAGAGGGATTGTACAAGCACTTTGGTTTACAAGTCCAGTGGTCACCGTTGATCACGTCAACGTTTGTATACCATGTGCTGGAGATTCACCCAAATTCCCCAGCACAACATGCTGGCCTCGTTGAGTACAGTGATTATATCATTGGCTCTCAAGACGGGCTGCTAGCTACTGGAGGTGAAGACCTCTTGGGTCGAGTCATTGACAGTAAACGTGGACAGGCCTTTATACTGTACGTTTACAACAGTGACTATAACGTGGTTAGACCTGTGACCATCACCCCTGCTGATAACTGGGGAGGCGTGGGACTATTAGGCTGTAATGTTGGCTATGGATTACTACATAGAATCCCATCAGTGACTGCTGGTGTTGAGCCTGGAAGTGTACTGTTTGACAACCAGTACGTTGGTTCACCAGCTCCGCAAGTGCAACAGATCTCCCTACCATCACCACCACCACCACACCAGTCGCTTAAGCCATCAACTTCAAACGACGACCCAGCTCATCCATTTACACAGCAGATACCACACGCCAGTAGAAAGAAGAAAACGGCTGCAGGTGCCAATAC